AAAGGAGCTACCAAGCCATGAAAAGACATGGAAGCACATTAAATTGCATATTACTAAATATGCAATTATATTATGTAATAATAAATGAAATAAGCCAATCTGAAAAGGCTACACACTATATGATTCCAAGTGTAAGACATCCTGGAAAGGGCAAAACTATGGAGACAATAAAAAGATCGGCGGTTGCCAGGGGTTAGGGGGAGGGAGGATAAATGGCTGGAGCCCAGAAGATTTTTAAGTCAGTGTAAAATATTCCATATCATCTATATGATATTATTTCTCTATAATGGCAAATACACGTCATGCTATACATTTGTCCATACCATTAGAATGTACAACGCCAAGAGCGAGCCACTGGGACACCTGGCTGACTCAGTCGGTAGAGTGCGTAAGTCTTAATCTTGGGGTTGTGGGTTCAAGCCCCACTTTGGGTGTAGAGATGATTTAAAAATAAAATCTTAAAAAAAACAAAAAACAAAACCAATGAGCCCTAATGTAAACTGTGGACTCTGGGTGATAATGATGTGTCAGTGTGGGTCTATCATTGTAAAAGCTGTCCCTCTTAGTGGGGGATGTTGATAGTGGGGGAGGCTGGGTGGGCAGGGAATACATGGGAACTCTCTGTACCTCTGTTCAATTTTGCTGTGAACCTAAAACTGCTCTAAAAAATAAAACCTATTTAAAAAATTTTTAACATTTACTTATTTTTTGAGAGTCAAAGAAAGAGCATGAGCGGGGGAGGGGTAGAGAGAGAGGGGGAGACACAGAATCTGAAGCAGGCTCCAGGCTCTGAGCTGTCAGCACAGGGCCTAACGTGGGGCTCAAACTCACCAACCTCAAAATCAACCTGAGCTGAAGTCAGACGCTCAACCCACTAAGCCAGCCACCCAGGCACCCCAGAATCTTTTTTTGTTTTTACTTTTTTTAATGTTCATTTCTTTTTGAGAGAGAGAGAGAGAGAGAGAGGGAGACAGCATGAGTGGGGGAGGGGCAGAGAGAGAGGGAGACACAGAATCCGAAGCAGGTTCCAATCTCTGAGCTGTCAGAACACAGCCTGATGCGGGGCTGGAACTCACAAACCGTAAGATCATGACCTGAGCCGAAGTCGGAAGCTTAACCGACTGAGCCACCCAGGCGTCCCTCCAGAATCTATTTTTTAAAACAAAGCAAATCAAAGTGGAAAGGAAAAACTCTGGGAAAAAAATTGACCAAGAAAATACGAACTTTAGTCTGTTATGGTATAATGAAAACTGAACAACTAAGTTTGTACTTTGTCTTTCTGCTAAATCATATTCTACCACTTAGCTCTGACCTTGGTGTTGGAAGGACAAAAGCTGAATGTTTGATTCAACATAATTTCTGGCATCCGTGAATTCCTGACTGAATGAAAGTTCCGTGGCTATAAGAAATTATCATTAAATCTAATCAGCTGAACTCTGTCAATAATACTCTTAGGCAAATCAACTGGATTTTTTGTTTAATACCTGCATATTCACAAATAGATTAACATTACAGTTTTAATTTGAAGTGGAATGAGGGCCAGTCGGTTAAGTGTCTGACTTCGGCTCAGGTCATGATCTTGTGGTTCATGAGTTCGAGCCTCTCTGCTGTCAACAAGGAACCTGCTTCGGATCCTCTGTTCCCTCTCTCTCTACCCCTCCCCTGCTTGTTCTCTCTCTCTCTCTCTCATTCTCTTTCTCTCTCTCTCAAAAATAAACATTTAAAAAAAATAAAGTGGAATGAAAAGCCACTGGAATCTCTCACATGGGGCAAAGGTGCCTTTGCCTTTGGGATGACATCATTCCCAGTAGCGGGCCCTCTGTTTCCCACTGCAATCACCACCCCAGCTACAGACACAGACCCATGACTTCCAGACTAACAGCTGCTTCTTGATTCCGGTGTTCGGCTCAAGGTCATTATCAACCCAGTGAGCTCCTTGACCTGGTTGTAACCAACTTCTTTTTTTTTTTTTCCTGTTGTGTTGAAAGATACAGAACATAAAATTTACCATCTTAACCATTTTTAAATGGAAAGGTCAATGGTATGAAATACATTCATATCATGGTGCAGCCAACACCACTGTCCATCACTAGAACTGTCTGCATCTTGTAAAACTAAAACTCTGTCCTTGTGAAACAAAAACTCCTGATTCTTCCCTCCCCCAGCCCCTGGTACTACCATATTCTTTCTATTTATATGAATTTGACTACTCATGGTGCCTCATATATATGAACTCATGCAGTAATTGTCTTTTTGAGATTGGCTTACTTCAGTTCTTCTAATGTCTTATAAGGTTCATCCATGTTGTAGCAGGTGTCAGAACTTCCTTTTTTAAGGCTGAATAATGTTCCATTGTGTGAATGGGACACGGGGTGTTTATCCATTCATCCATCGGTGGACACTCGGGTTGTTTCCACATATTAGCTATAGTAAAACTAGCCAACTTCTTTTTTTTTTTTTTT